AAATGAGATAGAATGTGGTCACATGATCTCAGCCAAAAGGGATGGTTCCGGTCCATGTCATGGAATGTTGCATAATAAAGTACTTTCTGTTAAAAGACTGTCGTTCCTTTGTGTGTGTGTCTTTTGTTTTATTTTGTTTTGGGTATTTTTTTATCATTCCCTTTTGTCTTTAAAAAAGTTTTTTAATGTTTATTTTGGAGAGAGAGAGGGGGACAGAGCATGAGCAGGGGTGGGGGTGCAGAGAGAGAGACACACACACGCACAGAATCCTAAGCAGGCTCCAGGCTCTGAGCTGTCAGCACAGAGCCCCCATGCAGGGCTCAAACTCACGAACTATGAGATCATAACCTGAGCCCATGTTGGACACTTAACCTACTGAACCACCCAGGTGCCCCCCTTTTTCGTCTTTAGAAATATATTATTCACTTGTCAATTTTTGAGTCTGAGAAAATTCATCTAGGGTGTAGATCTTCAGCTGAAGACTCATAGTCTGAAATTTCACTTACACAATCAGTTTCCCTGCCATCATCTGAGGCTGGAGTGCTGTCATCTTTCTCATTATATTCACATTCTGATTCATCTAATAATTGTGAATCACTCTCCTCTTTCAATTTTCTTCTATTTGCCATTATGGGAAGAAATATTTTAAAAGTCTGTATTCACTAATGGGTTTATTAAAAGCTAAAAGCAGGCCACAAAACAAAAACAAACCTAAACCGTTTACAATTGCTTGAAAAACATTCAATACCAAAGAGCGAAACTGGGAAAATTATTCAAGGCCTCTAAATAGAAAGTTCGAAAACATGTTTGAGAGGAAGTAAATAAGACCTAAATAAATAGGTAGATTGTAAATGGATTGTAAGTCTCCATATTTTACAAGATTTCAGTTCTTGCTAATTTGATCTACAGATTCAAGATAATCCCAAGCATATCCCAGCAGGTTATTTTCATTTGTGGAAATTGACATGCCAGTTATAAAGTTTATAAGGAAATAAAAAGGGCCAAGAATAGGCAAGGCAATCCTAAAGAAAAAGAAAACAAAACATAATACCAGAAATTAAACTGTATCTAGCTACAATTATTGAAATAATGTAGTATTGACACAGGGATAAATAGACCAATGGATCTGTATAGAGAACGTAAAAACAACTTCACACTTACAGTCACCAGTTTTACATCATTAATGACATTGCAGTTCAATCTGGGGAAAGGGCAGTTTTTCAAAAGATGGTGTTAAATCACTTGATCATCCATTCAGGGGAAAATGTATGTTGACCCTTTTTTCTTACCATGCACAAAAATGAATTCCATATGGATTGCAGATATAAATGTGAAAGGTAAAATAATAAACCTTTCAAAAGAAAACTTGGAAAATATCTTGTAGTGTTCAACTTCTTTTTTTTTTAATGTTTATTTAATTTTGAGGCAGAGAGAATGTGTGAGCGGGGGAAGGGCAGAAAGAGAGTGAGACAGAGAATCCCAAGCCAGCTCCTTGCTGTCATCACAGAGCCTGATGCAGGGCTCAAACTCACAAGTAATGAGATCATGACCTGAGCTGAAACCAAGAGTTGGATGTTTAACTGACTGAGCCACCCAGGTGCCCCTATAGAGTGGTCACCTTCTATAAAGTTGGAACTCTTTGCGGCCAATCTGGGACAATTTGAACATCAAGGTAAATAATGATAGCAATGGATTATAACCCATAGAATAAAATAGGTATATATGTGTCCATGCTAATGTGTGTGTGTGTGTGTGTGTATTATATGTATAAGAATAAACAAAATGTCAGGGGAGGGGATAGCTCTTTCTTACAGAAGAATTCCAATTAATAGATGTGTAGAAGTAATAATAGAAATTGATAACCATTATTAGGCACATATCACAGTAATATTTATTGCATGCAAGAAACATTGATAGATGCTAAAAATAGTGGTCCAAAGTTTAAGGAGAAACAGTATATTCGCATAGCCTCAAAGTATCTCCCTTCAAAGGTTTATCAAAGGGCAAATAAAAAATTTCTAGTGGAAAAAGCTTGGCAGACACTACCTCATCCAAGTGATCAAGGTTACTATCACTAGAATGGGGCACATTGATATCAAGTACCTCCTGACATCACACACAGAGAAGGATACAACATCACCCCTATGGTATTCTTGTGTGAAAAAAAGCTTAACTTTAATATAATCATGAGAAAACCTCAGACAAACCCAAATTAGGAACATCCAGGAGACAAGTACCCTCTAAAAATGTTATGTTTATTGTATTAGTTTCTTATTGCTGCTGTAACAAATGATCATAAACTTAGTGCCTTAAAACCAAACACTTCTATGTCCTTATATTTCTAGAGGTCAGAAGTCTAAAGTCAAGGTGTCAGCAGGGCTGTGCTCCTTCTGGAGGCTCTAGAGAAGAATCTGTTTCCTTGCCTTTTCAGCTTCTTGAAGCTGCCCAGCATTCCTTGGTTAGTGACCCCTTCTTATGTTGCTCCACCATTTTACTTCTGTCGTCACATCTCCTACTCTGACTCTGATCTCCTGCCTGCCTCCCCCTTATAAGGACCTTTGTGATTACACTGGGCCCACTTGGCTAGTGCAGGGTAAACACCTCATCTCAAGACCCTTAATGAAATCACACCTGCAAAATCCCTTTTGACCTACATGATAACATTCACAGATTCTAGAGATAAGAACATGGACATCTTTGGGGGGTTTTATTCAACTTCCCACAGTCATGAAAAACAAAGACTGAGGAACTGTCATGGACTGGAGGAGACTAAGGAGACATGATACTTAAATACAGCTGGATCCAGGACCAGAAAAAGGTCAGCAGTGAGCCAACTGGCAAAATTTAAATAAGGTGTATAAATTAGTTAATAATAATGTATCAATGTTAATTTCCTGGTTTCTATAGTTGCACTATGGGCATATAATATGTTAACATTAGGGGAAGTTAGGTGAGGGGTGTACCGATTTCTCTGTAATATTTTTTGGTAACTTTTTCATAAGTCTACAATCATTTCAAAATAATTAAAAGAAAGATACAAATAACAACAACAAGCATCCACAATAAGATACCCTTATAATTTCACCAGAATGGCTAAAATGAAAGTAAAAAGACAATGCCAGCTGTTGGTGAGGATGAAGAGAAACTTGAATCATCATTCATCACTGGTGGGAGTATGTACACTGGTACAAACATTTGTCAAACCCTTTGGAGCATCGTCTTTTTTTTAAGTTTATTTCATTTTCAGACAGAGAGAGAGAAAGAGAGACTCTATTGAGAGAGCGGGAGAGAGAAGGAGAGAGCACAAGGAGGGGAGGGGCAGAGAGAGAGGGGAAGAGAATTCCGAGCGGGTTCTGCACTGTTAGTGCAGAGCCCGACACGGGGCTTGATCCCACAATCTAAACCGCCTTTGGCAGCATCTTCTAAAGCTAACTATATATGTATTCTCTGTGACTCAGCAATGCCATTTCTAAGCATATACCCAATAGAAGTGCATATATATTTACCAAAAGATATGTACATGGCTACTACTGCCCCTATGGTCTTGAAAGGGGAAGTGAGAAGGAGCTATCAACTGTCTTCAGACAGTGGGGGTCACTGCCACTGGGGGCGGGTGCAGTGGCAGAGCAGGGGTGCTGTGATTGTGAACGGGGGTGGGAGGGAGGGGGCACTGACTTGTACCAGCCAGAGGGAAAAAAATAAGAAGGAGAAAGAACCACCGAAAGCAGGGAAAAGTGGGAAAAGTTCAAAAGGACAAAAAAACAATAGAACTAGAGTGTTACTGTCAAAAAGCTGGAGCTACAAAGCTTGAAATTACCGCTGAAAAATACTAAAATGTTGGGCCCTTCATCACCTCCTTCTAAGGATACTGGAAGCAGCATGTCATATTCAGCCTGATATATGGCCCATCATTGTGTCAATTACTTTGCATGACTCCAAATTGATTCGCTTATAGTTCATTTGACCTTTAAATTGACCCTGGCTTTTTAATTCTGGTTTTTCTCCCTAGTTTTCACCACCCTATTTCCACCTATTTCTAGTTCCACCCACCTACTAAATACGATTGACTCATACATGTGAATTATATCATTATTTTTCATGTTTTTACTTCCTTGTCTCTCAACATTACTCTTAATTTGAACATTACAGCCTGAACATTTCAAAGAGGTTTAATATTTCTGTCACTTTTCAAACTTTAAAATATTATAACCACCTTCACAATCAACAGTTGCTTCATCCTGTGAATACCCCTCTATTAGGACAGTAGGCTGTATTTTGGGTTTTGTAGCCTTGTGAGATGTAGAAAACATGTACTAGGTCCAGGACAGAGTAGCATCAAAAGCTTGGGAAATAATACTAACAAAGAAAATGTCAAAGAACTTGGGCACCATGGCTTGTTGTACTTCAAGTAGGTGAATGGCTTTTGTGATAAAATACTGACAGGCTGTTTTCTAGTCTCACCGAAGAAAATAGCGGGGAGTAATTGTCTTAAATTGCAGAACATCATTTTCGTTAGATGCAAGGGAAAATTTTTGTGGTGTGGGGTTTTAGGAAGAAAGCTGAAGTCTCAGAGATTGGTAGTAAAGAATGGAGCGGTGAAGTGCAAAGTGCTTCAGGTGAATGGTGACAAAATAAAAAGTGCCAACTCCAGCTTGCCAGAAGTGTCACCACACACAAATCATTTAACTTCTGTGGCACTGTTTCCTCATCTCTAAGGTGACTTAATGAGCTTAAGATTTGGGTGTTTTTAACCCTATTGGATAGATTAGGCAGGGTCCCTGTTGACGGAAATTTCCCTGCAAGATTGATCACCAATTAACAAGATACCATTCAAGGTGATAATTACTGGGGTGTGATTTTTTTTTTTCCTTTTTCCTTATTTTGCTTGAGCAAAGTGTAGTGATACATTTTTTTTTCTTTTCTTTTTCTCTTCGAAATAGAATGTTTGTTATAGACTAACATCCCTTTTGGATATAGATGCAAAAATCCTCAACAAGCTTTCCGGTGGTGACAACCTCCTCACGACACCATGCCTCTTGTAAAGGACCTCCTTCACCAGTCCACAAAAGAGGAGAAGAGGAAGCACAAGAAGAAGCACCTGGTGCAGAGCCACAACTCCTACTTCATGGATGTGAAGTGCCCAGGATGTTACAAAATCACCACCATCTTTAGCCACGCACGAACAGTAGTTTTGTGTCTTGGCTGCTCCACTGTCCTTTGCCAGCCTACAGGAGGGAAAGCAAGGCTTACAGAAAGATGCTCCTTCAGGTGGAAGTAGCACTAGAAGCACCCTGAATCAAGATTAGTGGGAAACTATCCCAATAAACACATTTTGGATTAAAAACAGTCCTTGGCGTGCCTGGGTGGTTCAGTTGGTTAAGCATTTGACTTGATTTTGGCTCAGGGCATGATCTCACAGTCAGGAGACCAAGCCCTGTGTTGGGCTCTGTGCTAAGAGTAATGCCTGCTTGAGATTCTCTCTCTCTCTCTCTCTCTCCCCCTTCCTCTGCCTCTCTCTCCTGCTCATGCTTGCTCTTTCTCTCCCTCTCAAAAAAAAAAATCCTCAACAAAATACTAGCAAACAGAATCCAGCGGCATATTAAAAAGATAAAACACTATGACCAAGTGAGATTTATCCTAACAATGCAAGGGTGGTTCAACATAAGGAAATCAATCAATGTAAAATACTACATTAAAAGAAGGAAGAAAAATAAACTCATGATCTTCTCAATTGCATCAAAGGATGTGACTAAGAAAGTGAAAAGAAAACCTACAGAATGGAAGAAAATATTTGTAGATCATGTATCTAATAAGGTGCTAGTGTCTAGAACATCTGAAGAACTCTTACAACCCAACACTAAAAGACAAACAACCCAATTAAAAAATGGACAATGAATTAGAATAGACATTATCCAAAGAAGATATACAAATAGGCAACAAGCCCATCATTACAGAAATGCAAATCAAAACCACAATGAGGCAATGAAGTATCACTTCACATTCACTGGTATAGCTATTACAAAAAAAGAAAAGAAAAAGGAAACAAAAAGAAAAAAAAAAGAACAGAATGAATGTTGGTGAAGATGTGGGGAAATTGGAAGTCTCATACATTGCTAGTGGGAATGGAAAAGGGCTCAGCCAGTGAGCAAAACAAGTTGGTGGTTTCTCAAAAAAGTAAATGTAGAATCACCATATGACCCAACAATTTCATTTCTAGGTATATGTACAAAAGAACTGAAAAACAAGTAACAAACAAATACATGAGCACTCATGTTTATAAGAGTACTATTTACAATAGCCAAAAGGTGGTAAGAACCCAAATGTCCATCAATGAATGCACGGACAGATTGTGGTATATACATACAATGGAATATTATATAAGGCATGAAAAAGAATGAGGTAGTCATACACGCTACAACATGTGCACGACCCTCAAAAATGCTCTTCTCAGTGAAAAGAGGCCAAAACCAAAAGGTGACATATTGCATGATTCCAGTTATGAGAAATGTCCAGAATGTATATGAAATATCCAGAATAAATCTGTAGAGGATAAAGGCAGGTTAGTGGCTGTCAAGGGCAAAGACAGAGGGAAGGAAGAATGGAGAGCATCTGCTTAACATGCACAGGGTTTCCTTTTGGGGTGATAAAAATGGTTTGGAACAAAATAGAGGTGGTTGTTGCACAACATTGTGATCATACCAAATGCTACTGAATTGTTCACTTTAAAATGGTTAATTTTATATTATGCGAATTTTACCTCAAGAAGAAAAAGTTTTAAAAATAGAAAGCTTGAATTTGACTTGTTGCCTATCCACATATGTCCTGGAAAAAAAAAAAAGTTTCTGTCTAGTACTTAACTGCTGGCTTATTTTAAAGCAAACATTTAAGGAATGTGGACCTAAATGGGCTTATGGATTACCTGGAGAAGGAAAGTTATTTGGAGACTGGCACAGGGTATCAGTTTTGGAGCAACTTTCTCATTGTACCTTTCAATCCATAAGCATATAATGCGAAATATTTTATGAATATTTAGAATCTTTTTAAAAAGTTTATCTATCTATCTATTTATTTATTTACATACATACATACTTACTTATTTAGATAGAGAGAGAGAAAGAGAACGAGTAGGGGAGGGGCAGAGAGACAGGGAGAAAGAATACCAAGCAGGTTCCTCACTGACTGCAGAGCCGGATGCAGGGCTTGATCTTATGAACTGTGAGGTCATGCATGACCCAAGCTGAAAGCAAGAGTTAGTCATTTAACTGGCTGAGCCATCCAAGCGCCCCAAATATTTAAAATCTTAATAAACTGCTCTAATATTTATGATGTGGACTCTGTAGGATTGGGCCATAGGATGGTCTTTTCTTAAGCCTTTTTTTTTTTTTTAAAGATTTGTGTATTATTTTTACAAAGTTGTATGTTAAACTGCTTGAGTGCTTTTTGAAAAGTGATTTATAAAAAAACTGAAATGTGATTTATATTTACCTTAACGATGGTTTAAGTACTAAAAAAAAATAAATACACTATTTGTAATGGCTCCAAACTGGAAACTACCTTAATGCCCTTCAGCAGTAGAATGGATAAATTAACACAATGCAATAATATACTGCAATAAGACTAAATGCACTGCTACTACACACAATAATACAGATGTATTTCACAAGTGATGTGAAGTAATAAAAACCAGACACGAAAGAGTACACGTTGGATGACTCCATTACAGTTCAAAAATAGGGAAAATTACTCCATGGTGTTAGATGTTAAGGTAATGGTTACCTTTGCAGGGGCTAGTTACTGAAATAGGTCACAAGGGGACTTCTAAGGTGTTCTCTCTCTTTTAAAAAATATATATATACTTCAGTTTTTAGAGCAGCTTTTTATTCACAGCGGTATTAAACATTTTTTTTAAATGTCTTATTTATTTCTGAGAGAGAAAAACAGCGTGAGCAGGGGAGGGTCAGAGAGAGAGGGAGACACAGAATCTGAAGACAGTCTCCAGGCTCTGAGCTGGCTGTAAGCACAGAGCCCGACCCCGGGGCTCGAACCCTCGATCCGTGAGATTATGACCTGAGCCAAAGTCGGACGCTTAACCGACTGAGCCACCTAGGTGCCCCTGTTCACAGCGGTAATGAGCAGGAAGTACAGAGATTTCCTATATACCCTCTGTTCCTACACATGCATAGCCTCTCCCGTCATCAACATTCTCCAGCATACTGATAAACATTTGTTACAATCAATGAGCCTACACAGTCATAATCATCCAGAGTCCTTTACATTAGAATTCACTTTCGTTGTTGTACATTCTATGGGTCTGGACAAAAGTGTGATGACATGTATCCATCATGTTAGTATCAAACAGAGGAGCTTCATTGCCCTAAAAATCCTCTGTGCTTCCCCTATTCATCCCTCCCTCCCCACTAGCCCCTGGTGTCCACTGACTAATACAATCTTCATTGCTTTGCCTTTTCCAGAATGCCATATAGTTGGAATCATACAGTATGTAGCCTTTACTTGTCCTCTTTTTTTTGATCTGGATGCTGTTGACATGGTTGTATTCAAACTATGGAAATTCATCAAGCTGTACACCTGATTTGTGCTTTGCTGTCGAGATGTTAGATCTCTATTAAAATATCTAAAAGCAAGATAAAAGGAAAAAAAAACTCAACAGAAAATATCGAAAAGCAAACAAGCCAGCAGACAACACAATCCCTCAAAATCACAAACCCTTTCAGCTAACTGCCCTATATCTCTTTCCTCTTGCTTATCACAGCCAACTTCTTGAGTTTTCTATACGCACTGCCTCTATTTCCTCACTTTCCACTCATTCCTCAACCCACTCCAATCTGGCCCTCTGTCCCCATAACTCTCCTAATATAGCTCTCACAAAGATCACCAATGGCCTCCCATGTTGTTAAATCTGATGGAAAATTCTTTATCCTCGACTTGCTTCACACCCCAACAGTATTTAGTACTGCCGACCACTTCTTCATTTTCTAAAACATTCTCTTGTGGATTTTGTGACACGATACTCCCACAGTATTCTTCCTGCACCTCTGACTACTCCATCTCTGTATCCTCATCCTCCTCTATCCAGGCACTAAATGTTGAAGGTTTCCTGAAGGCTCAGCTCTAGGTTTTCACTTCTCTTTCTACACTTCTCTCCTTAAGTGACCTCATTCATTCATATGGCTTTCAAGCCAATTTATATCCTTTAAATTTTTTTTTAACATTTACTTATTTTTGAGAGACAGAGCATGAGTGGGGGAGGAGCAGAGAGACACACACACACACAGATTCTGAAGCAGGTTCCAGGCTCTGAGCTGTCAGCATAAAGCCCAACGTGGGGTCCAAACCCACAAACTGTGTACTCATGACCTGAGCTGAAGTCAGACACTTAACCGACTGAGCAAGCCAGGTGCCCCTATATGCTTTTTGTAAAAAAAAAATGTTTACTTACTTATTTTGAGACACAGAGAGAGACTACAAGTGGGGTAGGGGCAGAGAGAAAGAGAATCCCAAACAAGCTCCATGCTGTCAGCGCAGAGCCTGACACAGGACTTCATCCCACAAACTGAGATCATGACCTGAGCTGAAATCGAGAGTTGGACACTCAACCAACTGAGCCACCCATGTGCCCCTATATCCTTTTTGCAAAAAAAAATAAAAATAAAAAATGCTTACTTATTTATTTTGAGATACAGAGAGAGAATACGAGTGGGGTAGGGGCAGAGAGAGAGAGAGAGAGAGAGAGAGAGAGAGAGAATCCCAAGCAAGCTCCATGCTGTCAGCGCAGAGTCTGACACAGGACTTGATCCCATGAACCTGAGATCATGACCTGAGCTGAAATCAAGAGTTGGATGCTCAACCAACTGAGCCACCCGCATGCCCCATCAATCCAATTTATATCCTAACTCCCAAGTTACAGCAATATCCCACACTTCTCTAAGCTCATCTTCATGGTCATTTACCTAATTTACATCTCCATTTGAATGTTACACCAACATCTCAAACTTAACTTCTCTAAGACTAAAATCTTGATTTCTCCCTGCCCCAAGCTTTTTTCTCATCCATCTCAGTAAACTGCACCAGCATTCATCCATTTGCTCAAGCCAGGGATATTTTTTGTCTTCCCCATTTGCTCATGTCCCAAATCTGGGAGTCTTACACCTGTCTTCCTAATTGTCATTTCTAGCCATGAAAAAAATGGGGGAATGTGAGTGAAGGTGAAAGACTTCACAGCAATCTTTTCTGGGGCTTTCTCTGAAGTCTAGCCAGGTAAATAACTGTAAGTA